ATTATAGGTATAGCTTAAGTCACTGAAACTGGCTCTCTGCTCATCCAATTTAGTCTCATCTTCAATACATTTGCAAAGCTGTGCAAGATCTAAGTTAAGATCTAAAATTAACTACAAAAGTAAGCAGTTTTCTTTTTCAAGAAAACCATTTCAACCCATCACAATGTAATTTCTTCTGCAAGAAATTTGGCTTAACTTTGCTGAAACATGAGCAGAGTAATTGCAACAAAATTATTAATGAATGACTATGATCATTTATAAAATACATTTTGACATTACCTGTTATTTAACCTGGTTCATCATCCTCTGAGTAATCACATCACTTTCAATCCTTTAGACCCAGGTTCATCTTTTCGTGCGTTTTTTGTTTGCCCCAGGTAGATTTTTCCACCATTATGGATGAAACAAAATCTTAGCTAATTCTTCTCAGAAAATAAATAAACTAAGAAAATTAGATGATGGCTTTGGAGAGAACAGGTAGGAGAACAGGTAAGGGGAGGGAGTCAGATAATTTTTCAGCTATTCTTCCACTGTTCCTTGTCATGGAGTGAACCACACCTGACTTCTACCACTGCTGAAATAAGGATTTTTCTTTGGGTAGAGAAATAGCATGGAAATTCATGATCAAGTCAATTACATTTTAAGCCTGATTTTGGGAAATAAATACTTTCCAAGAGAATTCAACCTCACACAGCACTTCTGCCTTCAACCTACTTGGAAGAAATTACTTTTAATTCTGTAAGATAATAAATAATTAAAATATACCCCCAAATCCTTCACCACTTTACCATACTATCTGAAAAAGAAAAATAATCTATCTTTCCACTATTCCTTCTTGTATGTGTTTTCAATACCTGAGCTCTGGGTAGTTATTGCTATCTAGTATAGCAGTTAGGGTCTTGGTCAAAAAAAAATCACAATCCTGGGAAAAATACACCACAGCCATAAACCTCTAAATTCCTTGATACCTGTACCATTGAACAGAGCCTTTAAAGGCAGATGTATGTTGCGTGTCCCAAGGGGATACTTTAGAAAATCACACTAATGCTGGTATGGAAATCAAGTTAACCTCTGTGGAAAGAGAGCAAGAATTTAATGCCCATAAATGGCACATTAATGTGTGTGTGTGTGTGTGTGTTAGTATGTATGTGGGGGAGGTAATGATGAAAATAAACACGTTATTTTAATGAAAACTAGATTTAAATACTTAGTGCAGCTTTATTTCCTCCTTTTCCTCAGCCCTGTGGGAAAGAGATAAACAGCACAGTGTAGCGAGTATATCATTTTTTTCATGTACTGATTCATTTTAAAATTTCTTCTTTTATTAATGTATCATTTTATCTCTCCATTTAGTTAACGGTCATTGAGAACTTCCTATTCTCCACTCGAGGCTAGGAACTAAATAAACACAGCCTCTGATTCAAAAAGATTACTTTCAAATGAGGAAAATGAATGATGAATAATATAGTGCCTAAAACATCAGAGGTTTTAGGTTTATTACACTTACACATTAAATTAAGAAAATTTTTGTGGGTATCCAAACCTTGAAACAATGATCAGCATGATAAGGACCAAAAAACTCTGACTCTAATTTCATATCTGTTTTACAAGATAATAAAAATAGCAATAATTATAAAGGAAATATTGGAAAAACAGAAAAGTATTTTAAAGGAGATTTAAAAAATACCTTCAGGGGTGAACATTTAACCTAATAGTTAAGATGTGCCCATCCCACATCAGAATACGTGGGTTTAATTCCTGACTCCAACTCCTCATTCCATTTCCTACTAATGTAGAACTTGGGAAGCAGTAGACATGATTCAAATAATTGAGTTTCTGCCATTCACATAGAAGACCTGGATCTGGTTATCTGCTCTCAGCTTCAGCTCTCCCAAACACTACAGGGATTTGGAGACTGAACCAGTGTGTGGAAATATATGCATTCGCTCGTTCTTTGATTCTCAAATAAATATTTTTAAAAGTATCCATGGTTCTACAACCTAAAGTGATTTTCTGATATATTCCTATCATGATTAAAATATATAGGTAAATGTATTATAAATTTATTATGTTTCAAAACATTGTCATACTACATATTGTTATTTTAAGATTTCTAAATTAGATCACTCCAAATCAGTATAATTGTGATAGAACAAAAGTTTATGATGTCTGTGTATGATTTATTTAAAGATAGTCTGTCACTATATATACAGATTTTTAAAAAGAAATATATTGATAAATAAATACGAGTATGAGACTTTTATGACACCTCTGATCTGATTTTTCCTCATCCTCACAAGAAATTCCTACTGTGTTTTAGAGTTCCCATTCTTTCATTCCAATAATTTTTTGCTAATTTGTATAACTGCTAATTAGCTATGTTGTTGCTTATTTATAATAAATGCTATGTTTAAAATTTTATGTTGCTAAGTCCAATGGATTGTTATGAAAATTGCTCATGTTTGCTTTTTATGAGATTTGATGGTATTGTGTTATCTTGACAAGAATGAGATCTGGTTTTGTTATTGTTTTACATTTGCTTGAAAAGAATGAATGTTATGTATGAAATGATAAATTGTTAACTGACTTGATTATGGCAACCATTTTACTATGTATATACATATTGAAACATCACATTATAAATCTTAAAAATAGGCAATATTCCAAGCATACCAATGAATTTGGAAGAAAATCAAGATCAAAGAAGTATAAAGAAAAGTTTCATATGAAAATAAACAATTGTTATCTAGTCTTTCAATATTTCTATAAGCCTAAATTGCATCATAATAAACATTACTTTGAATTTTATTACAGGTATTTATCAGGCAGTAAGTTTTTAAAATGTATTTTTTTAGGACTTCATGATGTCTGTGTAATTTTTCAACTTTTAAAATTATATTATTTTTTCAGTTTAAATAAATGTTTATTTTGTAGTCAGGTGTGTATTTTTTTTTAAGAGAGCCTTTCAATCTGATTGTTTCAGACTCTAGTAAAACCTGAATCTGAACTTGGACCATGAATAGAGAATAGGGAAAACTGGCTCATGTGAGGAGAAAATGGGGCCCATTTTTCTCTCTCTCTGTCTCTGTCTTTGTCTCTTTCTCTCTCACACACACACACTCTCTCTCTCTCTCTCACACACACACACCGTGAGCATAGAACCAATGGAGAGCAGCATGGATTGAAATGCATGACAATAATATTCTGTTAAGATTGATTTATTTTGTTCATTGATTTTAAGATGATAAAAAAGGAAGAAAATTTTCACAGCTTGGTTTTGCACTGGGAACTCCTAGTCTCCAAACATAAAGATAAGGAAATGGAGATGCTAATTATGAAAGTTATCTGATTTGATTAATGTATGTTGTATACATTGTGCTGAAATATGTGCTGTAATTCATAAAAAGCATAACTGTTTCTTTATTTCTGCTCATCTAAAGAGCTCACCTATCCCAGCTCCCTATATCCTTGTGTAGCAGTAGCACAGTAGTGGTCAAGTAGAGGTCGTAGTGGTATAAATTAGGCTAATGAGTCAATGAAGGTCTCAGCAAGGAACAAAATGCACACACAAATGTGAGTCAAAAGAGAATTCAATGAAGCTGTTATTAAGTGAGCAGTAGATGGGGCTAAGTTCTCGTTTACTCCCAGACAGCTTTCATCTGAGTTCTAATGATGTTCTTCGTGCTTACAGGAAGCCAATGTGCTTACAGCTACGTCACTTAGGGCCATTCAGTGACACTACCCATTTCCTCTTCAAGAGAATGAGGGATAAAGACTTTCTGGTACTAGTCTCTGGACACTAAGCATCCAATACTTTTTTCAATGTCCATTTTTGCCCCCTCTTATCTTTTTTGAACCAATAAAACAGTTATCATTATTATTATTGCATTTTTCTCCAGTATTAGTTTTTGTTATCCAGTCTTTTATTTTATGGCAAAAGCTAACATAGATAATACAATATGTATTCTTTGCTACCAAAATCTATTTAAAATAGTATATTTATCACTTTAGCAATGCAAGAAGCTTATGACTTTAACTTTATTAAGCCTCCTTCTCCATCATTATTATTAGTAGTAGTATTACTAGTAGTAGTATTTTTAGAAGCAGAGTGAGAGAGAGAGAGAGACAGAGTCCCATCCACTGGTTCATATCTCAAATGCCCAAAACAGGAGCGGGGAGCTCAATCCAGGTTGCCCAAGTGGATGGAGCCATCACTGCTGCTTCCCAGGGTCTACTTTAGCAGGAAACTGGACTGAGCAGCCAGCCTCCACATTGAACCTGGGAATCCAATGGGAGACACAGATCTCTTAGATGCCAGGCTAAACATCATTCCTCACCTTGTTATTGTTGCTTTACATATGTATTTTACCTCTATGTATGTTTAAACTTTGTAAGATGTTTTCTCCGTGTCAAAGAAAAATATTTTTTCATAATTACTCCAATATTTTTCTTCTTTCTGATGATTTCATTCATTTCTGTACTTCTGTGCTCCCATTAGTAACTATTATTCTGCATCCTGATCAATATATTTTCTTTAATATTTCATTTCAGCTTTTATTTATATGAATATTTATTTTATATTCTCTGAGGGATGCTTTAACTCGATGCAGAATACTAAGTGGACAGAATTTAGGTTTCAACACACTGAATAGTCATTTCATTGTCTTTTGGCTTCCATAATTTCTATTGAAAAGAGAAGCATGGCAGACATTTTCCAGGGTACAGTTGGATGCTTTCAATGTCTGTGTGTTCTCTGTTAAAATAATTTTGTGTTTCCATTTCTCTGGATGGACAGGAAGAATTCTGAACCCCCTTGAAATTCACTGTGATTTACAGTTCTCAGACAAGATCTAGAAGATTTTGCAGATGACATTATCTCCCATTAAACCTCATTCCAGTCTCAAATGCTGGGGATTGATTTCTTAATCTTGAAAAGTTTCTTTTACTTGAGGCTATGTCTCTTTTATAGTCCAGTATCCCTCAAACACCCTGGCCCCAGTTCAATGTCCCCTTTGAAACGCCCTGACAACCCTTTGGTGAATCTCCTTGGTCTTAACTCCATATACCACAGGGTTAAGAGCAGGTGGGAAAAGCAGATAGACATTGGCCAAAAGAATGTGAATATGGAGTGGAACATGGTGGCCAAAACGATGTGTAAAGAAAGAGAAGAGGGCTGGTGTATAAGAGATGAGGATGACACAGACATGAGAACCACAGGTCCCAAGGGCCTTGGACTGAGCTTCATGGGATGAGAGGCGAAGGACAGCTTGTGTAATGAAGGCATAGGAGAGACCAATAAAAAACAAGTCAACTCCAATAACCAACAGTGCAGCTGTCAGCCCATATACACGGTTAGGCCTGGTGTCTCCACAGGCCAGCTTTACCACAGCCATGTGCTCGCAGTATGTATGTGGGATCACATGGCTTCGGCAGAAGCTCAAACGTCTAATGAGGAAGGGGCACGGGAGCATGAGCAGAGAGCCTCGCATTAGAGCTGCTACACCAATGCGGGCAATGACAGTGTCAGTGAGGAGAGTGGCATAGCGCAGAGGGTGGCAGATGGCCACATAGCGATCAAAGGCCATGGCCAGCAGCACAGTGGATTCCATCATGCAGAAGGCATGAATGAAGAACATCTGAGTTAGGCAAGCAGAAGCAGATATATTTCCAGCTCCATACCAGAGGATGGCCAGTAGCTTGGGAACTGTGGAGAGGGAAGCAGCCAAGTCAGTGACTGAGAGCATGCACAGGAAAAGATACATGGGCTTGTGCAAGGTTGGTTCAGTGGCAACAACAACAAGGATGGTTATATTTCCCACAACTGTGGCTGTACCCAGGCAGCACACAGGGAATGAGAGCCACAAGTGAAATTGTTCCAGACCTGGGATGCCCAGGAGGAAGAAGATAGGAGGATCCTGGTTAGTGTAATTGGGAGACCCCATGTTATGTCCATAAGTGCTGGGCATCTTGTCTGGTCATAAACCACCACACAGTATCACATCACCTGGAGAAAACACAGAACATGGATATGAATGAGACACTTACTAGCTATATAATGTTTGGCAAGCTTCATCATCTCTAAAATTGCAATAATCGTAGTACCTAGCCTCAGAGTTAGGAGAATCACATGGGTTTGTATTGATGAAGGAATCTGAATAATATCTGACAGAATTCTTGTAAACAAAATAAATGAATGAGAGAAAGGATTCAAATATAAACTGGAATTGTCTACAAGATAAAGCTCATTGTTCTTAAAGAAAGGAACACACACCATTCATTTTTCTTGGGACTGAATACTCATACACATCCTCTCTTTTGTTTTTTTTTTTTATCTCAGCTTGTTTATTTTTTTTCCTTTTTTTATTTAGTAAATATAAATTTCCAAAGTACAGTTTATGGATTACAATGGCTTCCCCCCCATAATTTCCCTCCCACTCGCACCCCTCCCATCTCCCACTCCCTCTCCCATTCCATTCACATCAAGATTCATATTCAATTACCTTTATATACAGAAGATCGATTTAGTATATATTAAGTAAGGATTTCATCACATCCTCTCTTATGAAGTATGGGAAGAGTATGGTGGGACCAACAGTCGAGAATACAAGCTGCAAGTACAGTTCACTGGCTAAATCTGGACATCCTTTTACGTGTCCTTTAATTCAGAATACACTCTGATTTGGGTATTGGTGCTTAAGGACTATTTTTTCCTCTAGTATTACACTAGCAGTTTCCACTCTTTTCATTAGTCAATGGATTTTGTTCACATATACTTGTTTAAAGTTTTTCATCTAAAATTCCATGAGGTGCTTCACTTACCCTTACATATCAAGTTTCTTTTTCCCAAAATGTGGGATGTTTACCCTTTCTGGACTTAATTCTATTTCTAAAACAGAAATTCCATGCTTTTTCAGCCTATTTCTGGATCACTCTTTTATTCACACCCTGTCACTGGTGCTTGGTGATTTCAAAGAAAAGGTTGAGTCAAATCCACCTCAATTTCACACTTTCACAGTAACAAGAAACAATTATATAAGATTAACTTATCTTGTACCTGGACAGTGATGAATCAACATTCCTTGTGGGAAACTTTAGAATATTCTCTCATTTATCCTGTCTTTACCACGTCTCTAGCATCTAAGCAGATACAATTCACAGCTAGGAATATGTAACCTAAATGGAAGTATGCAGACTATGTGGAACCATGGTAAAGTGGAAAAACAGAGGAGGAACTATTAGAATAAACATGAATTGCTTTAGCTGGGATTTTTCAAATAGGAATGAGAAATTCACTACCTGGAAGTTCATATTCATTTAGTCAACAACAAATATTAATTGTGTTCTTTATATCACTAGCCCTTTTCCAGAAGGGAGAGGATGTAAAGATTAATATGAAATGGCCAGGAAATTCAGAGAGAAAACAGCAGTCAAAGGGGAAATCAACTTTCTATATATAGAATATCTATAGATATATAGAATATATAGATAGAGATATTCTAGATATATATTTGATATATATAAATATCAAATATTCTATATATATTTGATTGATATATTTGATATATATCATAAATATATCAAATATATATCAAAATTTTAAAAAAAAGAAGTTTCTCTATTTTTGGACGGCACAGAAGTCCCCTTCTCTCAATGCACATAGGTTTCAGAGACTAAATATATTACAGAGAAGAAAACTATAGGAGTCTATAGGAAAATTGGATTGCTGAAAGAAGCACTGCCTATAAATAACAAGTTAATATAAAGATTCTCTCTCAGTTTTATGGGTCTCAACATATTTAAATTTTTAAATGATCACACTTACATGATTTAAAACTTCCGAGACCCTAGACCTCTAAAATACACTGCCTCTTCAAGGAATATTTGAAGGCAAACAAGAGATTTAACATACACTCTTGCCTGAATATCAGGTGGAGGTTTAGAGAATACTAATCAAGTGACAATTAGGAAATAAAGATTAATGTCCATTTGAGAAGTCATAAATATCAATAATGTATTACAAGGGCTACAAAGGAATTAAATTCAAAAATCCATACTTGGTACATGTCATGTTCTGACCTTAATATGGCTCTGTGGGTTTAAAACTGCAATATTGGAATGATAGTTTTGGAAATTTAAAGAACAGTACATACTTAAGGTTTTAGTGCACAGAATGTATACAGCAAATGTCATTTATCTTTATTATCATCTTTATTTTAATAAGAAACTAATCTGAAATCCAATACAGGATCCTCATTGTAGTTTCTGGACAAACCAGAATCTGGTCTTACTGCAAAGATTTATATAATGACTTAATTTTCATATGATGCTACATGTCATTTATATAATGAATTAACTTTAGTTTAGACTCACCACAGTTTGTTCCATTGTAGGGCAAGCTTGTTGAGAAATATGTCTTCTTTATAGCACATTTCTGTGTACCCTTTATGGTCATATAAAACTTTTTAGGAAATGGGAAAGCAGTTTCTCTGAGTTGTCTCAGTAACAATTTATGTGCTCAGCTCTAGTTTTATGATGCAGATTTGCTCACTAGGCTTTTGCAGAGCTCTGTTCAACTGAATGTCTCAGCACAGATAATGGTCTGTAATCATAATGCAGAAGCAGAGAAACCCTACTCACCACACCACTCCAACCACTTAGGAAATATCTCCACTTCCACTTTCCTCCCAAAGTCACTCCTACATACTCAGGAGGCTTAACTTGAGATTCTTCTTGGCAGTCCCTTCCTGGTCTTTTGGTTTCTTACACTATGCTTTGAGGCAATTGTTCCCTTTAGGAGCTTGACTGAGCATGAATTACTACCTGTTACCAGGGTAGAAAGGTGCTGACTTTGACTCAAATGAACATTACCTGCACTTCCTGTGGTCTTTTCTTTATATGGAGCCCTAGCATTACACACATCAACCTTTAATAGGGTCACACACTCTTATCCCCTTGCGCTCTTCCATCACTTTTTCCATCAAACTCAAAAGTCTATAGTCTCACACCATTGCTTGTGTAAAATACCTAGTAATATGAATAAACTTTGGAAACTGTTCTCACTCATACTTGCTTTGAACCCAATCATTAATCCAACTCTTGGGACTGGCGCTGTGGCGCAGTGGATTAATGCCCTGGCCTGAAGCGTCAGCATCCCATATGGGTGCCGGTTTGAGACCCGGCTGCTCCGCTTCCTGTCCAGCTCTCTGCTATGGCCCGGGAAAGCAGTAGAAGATGGCTCAAGTCCTTGGGCCCCTGTACCCACATGAGGGACCAGGAAGAAGCTCCTGGCTCCTGGCTTCGGATTGCCGTTGCGGCCATTGGGGAGTGAACCATCGGATGGAAGACCTCTCTCTCTGCCTCTCCTCTCTCTGTGTAACTCTTTCAAATAAATAAATAAATGAATCTTTTTAAAAAATGTCTGCTAATTAAAACTCCAAATTAGACTGCACAGAGGTATTGTTTAGCAAAATTTCCTTTCCTGGTCATTAAATCTCATTTACCTGCTTCGAAGCAAACTTCTCACAATCAGTTGCACATATAGACATCTCTTGAAGGTTAATAAATGACTAGGTTAGATATTTTTTTTACCCCCAACTCACAAGGAGAGCAGAAATGAGAAGGTACAGTGCTGTAGAGATATCCTCAGAAGATTGCAAGAGCATTACCAAAACCCAGCAATGCGCAAGAGGTTGTTATACTGATGACTCCTATCTATCACAGGAATCTCCTGGGAATTTGATTGTATAGATGGATTAAAAACTGGAGCCACCTAGGGAGCTTCTATGCTCTCTTGAAAACTAGGCATCTAACATTTTCCTCTTTTACTTGATCAAATCAAAATGTGAAAATGAAGCTGAAACTTTTGTTAAAGAGTCAAAAATGGCATATTTGTAATCTACTTCCTTGGAACTTTTTCTTTGTTTTTGTTTTGTTTGGTTTTAATTCTCCACATCTCAGCACTGGCAATATTTACCCAGGGACACCAAATGTTTTAGGGCCATGTAATCTGCAAGTACTGATTCTCTAGCTTGAATTTCTCTCCGTTTCCAATATAATTCATTCCCCAAGGACCCTACGGCACACTCTTCCTCCGAGTCTCCTCTGTGATTAGTTCTGCCATGTTTACTCCATTCTGTGACTCTGCTTTTATAAAGAATTTACTGCTTGTGTTCCCACATTAGCCATAGTTTCATAATTTCAGGGTTACGTATGCAAGATGTAACAAGATGGTAATAGAACTCACTATGAAATTGTTTCCATATGTAGGAGGAGCTAGGACTAGTTACAGGTGGATTTTTGCCATCTAAGGTAATTATTTTAGGAAATGAGTAGTGTATAAAAGGCTTATATGTCAAACATTACCAAATCTGTCTCCTGGCATTCTTCACTGAGACTCTATCCATTGTGCTTATCTCAGGAAACTGTATTTTCAAGGAATTTCTGTGTATTAAACACACAATCCAGTTTTCTATAGGACTAGTGAACTGTTGATATATTACTCCTATATACAGAGTTCAGTTAGTATAGTCCCATCACTAACATGATTTACTCCATCATGCACACGAAGCCTTCCTCAGAACAGGAACAGGTGCCTTAAACTCATACTCCCAGAAAAACGAACAGCTCTTGCTATTATCTAGAACTCCACATTGCACTGGGAGACTTCTAAAAGTTGTCAATGTTGAATTATAGTCATTTTCTATACTACTGTAGTTGACTTCTTCATTATCTTTCCAAATGCTGCTCTGATCATTTTCTTCTCCAACATCACTCTATCTAAAGAGCATTCCTCAAACCTGTAATAGGTCTGAGTTCTGGTAAGCAAAATGCTCTTTCTTTTAATCTTTTTTTTAAGTATTTTCTTTAGTTTTTCATATTATGGTGTTAATACAAAGAGAATAACTTCATTGTATATGCAATTGTAATAATATGGTATTCCCTT